ATTCCCCTCATATATATATATATATATATATATATATAATATTATATTTGTATGATTATTTTATGAAATGATTATTGATTGATAATATTTTTTAAATTTTATGATGACGTATGTTTATTTTAAGTAGAAAAAAATAAAAAATTTTGTTATATTTTTAATTAGTAAAACATTTAATTTATATATAAAAAAATTAATTTAACACTCTTAAATTTTTTATCCAAGTTCTACCTTTGACACTTAATATCCTTGGCTAAGACAAAAATAACATAAGAGAAATACTGAAGGCGAATTTAGTAATTATTTGAGAGATGAGTATTTGTATGTTTTATTGTTTTTCTTTTAAAAGATCTTGCACGTTTATTTCTACAGGAGATTTATTGAGAATATCAAAATATTTAGGATAAAATTATAGGGATAATGTTCTATTAACCTTATAACAATAATTCACTAATTATGTCTTAAAAGTAGTGTAGATCTTCTGCATTTGTAGGCATGTATTCTTCTTACCATCCAAATCTTATATAAAATTCTAATGCAGATTAATAGTTCTACTCAATTAATTGTTAGTGATGCATGATGAGTGGCTTCTCTCTTATTTATGATTTACACCTTTATATTTAATAAAGGAATATAAATTTTGAAAATTAAAGAAAACATCTCCTTTATATATTTCATAAGGAATTACAACGGTACTTTTTAAATTAAGTTGTTTTGATATAATTAATTTTTAAAATTAATAAAAATAACTTAAAATATTTTTTTCTTTTCACTTTTACTTTTTTTCCCCTTACAGTAAGTATGCTATTAACAAATAGATAATTTAAGTAATTAATTTATTCATTTTTTTTACTAAATATTAGTTCAAATATTTTAAATCATTTGATAAAAATTAAAATAATTTCGGAAAAAATATAATAAAATTTTATTTGTCAAAAGTGGAACAAAATTTTATAAATTTTTTATTTAATTTATTTCTTAAAATTTACATATAAATATAAAATATCTCAATTTATCATGAATATGCAGACACAGATTTACGTTATTACCAATGGGGGCAGCTGCCCCCATTAAATTTTTTTCATTCTTTTTATTTTATTTTATAAAATACTATTTGTATTATAAAATATATACTAGTAATTATATTTTAATTATCCTATTATATCTAATATAATAAAATATATTATTTTATTAATATTTTATTTTGTTGTTTAATTGTTTTTATTTTGTGAAAATTATTTCAATATAGGAAAAAATTTACTTACTTTAAGAGTAAGTTTTGATAGATTTACTTTACTCAATAACTAATATTTTATATTAAATTTTTAAAAATTCAACTGTTAAATTAAATTTTTTTAATGCATGTATCAAATTTAAAAATTTTAAAAAAAATTAAAAACTATATGATACTTCGTTAGATAGATTCAAAATAACATATAAAATATATTTTTTATTATCTATAAATTTAAATTAATCAAACTAAGTATCAAATAATTTTTATTTTTATTTTAAATTTTATTCATATATTAAAGTTTTTTAATTGAACGGTTGAATACTTATATAAAATATGAATTATTAAGTGAAATAATTTTATCAAAATTTACTCTTAGAATAAGTAGATTCCTCCTCATTTATTATTATTATTATTATTGTTATTATTATTATTATATATTGTATTTTTTAGCTAAAAGATTTATTACTTCTTTACTCATTAAAGATGTCAAAATTTAGTTTACTAATGTAAGTTGTTTTTCAATTTTTTATTTTATTTTTTTAACTCTTTGATCATGTATATATATATATATATATATTGTGTGTTGGTAAGAGAGGATCTACATTAAGAGGAATGAGAGTAATTGTCACACAATTTTTTTAAACTTAAATATAATTAAATAAAGAAATTTACTCTTATAAAAAAAATAGCATTGCACTCATAAAACATTTTTCTTTTAAATGAGTATAGAAATTTAAAAGACACTAAAAAAATTAATAATTGTATTATTTTTATCCTATTAATTTTTACCATTTAATTCCTCTAATCTTAAATAAGTCATAAAAATGATAAAATAACACTTAAGTATAAACTAAGACAAAAAGAGAAAAAGGAAAAATTACTATTCTATTTATAAGACAATTGTAATTTATAAAAATAAAATATGTTAAAAATTTACAATAAAAATATATTTTCCAAAAAATTATTATATTTTTAATAAAAATAATATAAAATATTTTATTGTCCCCACTTAACAAATTTTTTGAATCCCTCACTGTTAGACATGTCAATCTAACCCGTCCCCGTGGGTACCCGTCCGAACTCGCCCCGATTTAGATGGGGAAAACTCGTGTTTATCGGGTTCGGGTTCGGGTTCGGGTTTTCCCCGATTGATAAAATCGGGGGCGGGGGCGAGGGTGGAGATATTGATACCCACCCCGCCCCCGCCCCTGTCCCTGCCCCTGTCCCTGCCCCGCTTAATAATATAATTAAAAAATTATTTATTTATATATATAAACCAAAATTATAAATATTTATATGTAAAAATTTATATTATTTTACTTTTCTTTTATTTTTTTTTAAATTGTTCATATTTATTTGAAAGAAAAAAAGAAAAAAAAAAAGGAGCGGGGGTGGGGCGGGGAAACCCGAACCCCATCGGGGGCGGGGATGAGGACCTAGATTTTATTCCCGGCAGATATCGGGAGCGAGGGCGGGGGCGGGTTAAATTTGCGGGGAGTGGGGGCGGAGGACGTAAAACCCGCCCCGCCCCGTTCCGTTGCCATGGCTACTCACTCTGAATATGTGATTTGAATTGCTAGTGTATTTAATATCGAGTGATGAGCATAACTTATATACAAGTTGTCATGTTAATCAAACTTGTGTTGTCTTTAGGGTCGGTGTGGTCCAGGAAGAAGTTTAGATTCATATAATTAATATAAGGAAGTGTTTGTGTTGTACGAAATTATGAGGACTACAATTTAATTTAATTTGAATATGAAATTAAATTAAATATTATTTATAAAAGAGATATTTCATACTTTTTCCATCGTATATAAGAAAAAAGATTGAGATTGACTTAATTATTGTCATTGGCGTCAACCATTCAATCTTTTTGCTCATTATTATTCATAAACCCACATATAGTAATTTTTCTCTATACCCATCACCTTCAATTGTCAAGAACTCGCTGCATCACAAGCTTCTACATCCAGTTACCGATCCTTCTAGTTTACGAAGCACTATGAGATCTGAAATGTACAAGTGATCCTTGTTGGGTTTGACTCTTTACCTGAAAATTCAGAAGAAAATAACATGATTTGTTGATTGATTCTCATGTGTGCTTGTGGTTGCAGATTTAGCAGTGGAATCGAGCTTGCAACTTTGGTGACAAGCTCTATTCTTCTTCGCAAATCATGGGATGTTATCTCGAGTGATCACGAAGACATCATTTCATACAAGGGAGAGGGATTGTCATGGAAACTTTATAAAGAATCGCATTCAGATTTGAATATTATAGCATTTGAGGCCACGTTTGACTCTTCAAAACTTTCAGGGGATTTGGTTCCATCTTCGGAGAAATTCCTTCACTTTGACTTCTTGTGTACCGAAATCAATCAAATTTTCTCCATTAACAGAACTGCACTTTCACTCTTCCATAAAAACCATCAGAGGCTTGATCAATTGAAATGTTATGAGGTATATCACCCCCTTTCCCTTTTTCATCATTATTGTAACTTCTAAGCATCTTATGATCCTTGACCTGCAATAATTTTGTATATCCATGCTAATTAATCTAGTGTTGATGGTGTGTGGACTGATTCAAGCTTATTAGTACAATTTTTAATTAAGCTGCTTGACTTTGCAGAGTAGTCATGATCATGATCATCAAAATATTACAATGCTTAGCTTTAAAATTTCTCCTCGAAAAGAAAATTTTTGGGTTTATTATTCATTTGCTCTATGTAATTTTAACTTATAGTCTTATTTATACTTCAAAATCGTTCATTTAGTTTATATACAAGTAGTTGAAGTGTGTCGATGGTGATTTTCCAAAGCCTCACATATGGAAAGTAGTTTAGTGGGTGAATTTAGAAGTGATTTAAAACAAACATTTATTTGTATATTTTAAAGCACTGGCACTTGAACTTTCTTTGCTTCTTCTCTTCACTTATTTTATTTAACGGCTTGTTTTTCCTGCAAAGGAGTTCTTTACAAAGAGTTTTAGATAAGGATTACTGGATTAGTACCTGCGAACATCAGGGTTTAAGGGATAAAATTGAAGGGATAATTTTCTGTTAACCTTATACATTTTTTCCCCTAATATTGTCTTGAAAATAGTATAGATCTTCTGTATGATTTTATCCAATCATAATGCAGATTAATAGTTCAAGTCGATTGATAGTTACTGGACATGGTCTTGGAGGATCAGTTGCTTCTCTCTTCACTATATCACTATTAGATAGCGTTTGGTTAGGAAAGAATCGCCCACTTTGCATCACCTTTGGTTCACCCCTTATTGGTGACAAGAATTTGCAACAAGCTATATCACGTAGTCCTATTTGGAATTCTTGCTTTCTAGATGTTGTGTCGGTCAAAGACCCACTTCCAAGGCTCTTCATTGCAAATCATACTTACATGCCCTTTGGAACATTTCTCTTCTGTTCCGATATAAATTCTGTATGTTTTGAGAATCCTGACAATGTTTTGGAACTTCTCATTGCAATGGACTCAACCCGTGATCAGAATCAAGGATTTAAATCTGCTAATTACGGAAATATAGTGAAAAATCTCAATCATAAAACAATTTCCAATGACTTTATTACTGTGGCTGGAAACATGACTCGTCCAGAATCAAATTCAGTACTTGCAAGTAGTATCAGTTTACAGTTGGGGACACTAGGATTGACACCACACATGCAGGTAGGTGAATATCTTCTATTTCTTGAACAATTAGAATTTTCTAATTCTATTTAATTGAGCCCTACTTAGACTCCTAATGTACAATTAGACTAGTATTTGATAGTCATAAAACAAATGTTTTCCTAACTTGGTTTCTAAAATTGACTTGACACAGAGCAGCCACAACAAAACATCGATATCATTACTCTGGAAGGAAAGATGATAAAACTAGAACAAAAATTCATTTATCAGAAGAAGGTGATGTTCAGTCCTTCCAAGAAATTGAATTTAATAAAGAGGGACATGGTCCAACTTGAATGGTACAAGAAGGGCGGAAAAAATCGAGGAATAGGATACTATGACAGCTACAAGAGGAATGTTTCAATATTGGACCATGATGTTGTGAAGTTCATCAAAAATCTAACTTATTACTGGAAAAGTATGGTTGAAGAAGCAAAAATTATGCCTCAGAAAGGAAGTGCAGGTTTTCGTAAAAGCTGGCTCTATGCTGGTACTAGCTACAGGAGAATGGTGGAACCCCTTGTTATTGCTGAATACTATAGTAATGGGGGTAAAGACTATATGACTAAGAATAGGCCTAAGCATTTTGTTCTATTGGAGGAGTGGTTTTGGAATGAGATGACAAGAGCCAGAACAAGGTATGTGGAAGCTATGTTAACACTAGACTTTGGCACATTGATAAACAACATGATCCTTTCCCGCCAACAGACGATGGTTTACGAAGAGATGGAGGACTATTTATTAAGCGATGATGAGAACTACGAAGATATTTCAAAGTATCCTTCTTTCTTTTGTGTAGTTGATGACCAGATTCGTCTTTCAAGTAAAGAGTTGAACGTAGTAGAAGAAAATGAAGAGAATGTAAGTAATTCTTACTTCGAGGCACTGGTTGATGAGTGTATCCATTCCCCGCGCAAAGGGTCAGTTATGGAAGGAAATAATATAAAGGGATTTGGATCACGTGTTGACCAGGCTATTCTTTCTCGCCAAGGATCATTTGGTTCCAAAGGAAGAAAGCAAAACGTGGAATCTATTTTAACAACTGATTCTTGCTTTTGGGCTCATGTTGAAGAAGCACTCCTTTTGTGCAAGGAATTAAAGGCTACCGAAGAGAACGAAGAGACAATGCAGAAATTGGTTAAATTTGAGAAGTATGTGTATGAGTTGCTGGAGAACTATGAGGTGTAGCCAGAAATTTTCTTGCAGGAAAGCAGTTATATGCATTGGTGGAAAGAGTATAAGGCAATTAAGGGAAGATCATATGATTCAACACTTGCAAGTTTCATGAATGATGCTAGGAATCGTGAGCGGTATGCTTTGGGAGCGTATGATTTTCATCCTTATGTATGATGTTTTTCAGTTATGCGATAAATTTTGATTTCATTATAAATTAATTACCAGTGTATTTAGATGTTTTATTATTTATGTTTTAATATAGGATGTGACATCAAGGGATTCAAAATTTATGATTTATGTTTATGTTGTCCTTTTAAATATTAATGTTAGAACTCATTTATGTTTAGTAGAAACCTTTTTTTAGTTCTTTTAGAACATGACCTTTGATGCTTCTCAAATTTTTTAATTATTATTTATTCATGTTATCTTTTATAAAAAGTTTAACTTAAAGTTTGATTTAGTGTTATAAAATAAAAGTGACCCTCTATCTAAGGAGGAATTTTATGAACTCTTTATATCTTATCATTGGAATTTTTATTTAAAATTTCTGTCGTTTATTATAAATATGAGCATAGTAGAGGGTATTACACTTGGCAATTGAGCCACAAAGAGCAACTAAACTCTTTGAAAACAAAGATAGATATAAAATAATTCATGGGCATATATTCCAAGTAAGAAGGCACAAAAAACATCAGGAATTTTTAATAGACAACGAAGCAAGGATACTTTTATACATTTGATTCTATTAAGTTTACATTCTTCCTATCAAGATCTCAACCATAGAGAGGGGAAAGACAACATTCCTTTACACATTTACATAAAGCATAAGTTTCTCAAAACACATTAGCTTGTTAGGATACAATCAAAGTCTCATATTGTTTGAACAAGAGGATAAACATAGTTTATATATCCAAAAAAGTCTCCATTGGTGAAAGGCCTTTTGAAAGAAGACCAAAAACAAAATCAAGAGGATTTAAGCCCAAAGTAGACAATATCTTGCCAATATGGAGATATGTGTGTGTGTGTGGAAACCTTGGTGCATAATAGATCTCATGTAAGTGGACATAACTCATCAATTATGTTACTTATATACACATGAGTTCAAAAAATGTAAAAGGATGGACATGAGTTTATATATACAAAAAAGTCTTCATTGATAAAAGGTCTTTTAGAAGATAACCAAAACTAAAACACCATGGTTTAGGTCCAAAATGAACGATATTTTACCAATGTGAAAACTTATTTGTGTAGAAACCCAACAAATCTCAAATAATGCCCTTACAATTGATCTCATGTAAGTGGCTCTAGCTCATCAATTATTTATCATCATTGTTAGAAATTTTCTCATAGATAGGTAACTTACCTCTCTTTTTAACAAGATACTCTTCGATTCTTAATATAAACAACAAAAAATTAATATTTGTTAGTCTCAAATAAATGACAAATAAATTTAATCTATTTAATGCTACCATCTTCAAAATGCTCTTTCATTTAGTTGACAATGTATTTTCAATGTTCCGTATTATTCCTAATATCAAGTTTCAAGAAAGGGCAATTTAGGAAATTAGATTATTTTTTAAAATAAAACTAGTTCAATTACTATTAAATGTTATTAATTAACTTTTTTAGTTAGAGTAAATTATTTTTTTGTTGCTTATATTTAGAACTTGATAGTAGGGATGACAAGTAAACTCATATATGTGGATAATGCATGCACCATCTAGACTTTAATGGGGAATACTCGATTTAATTGGGTCTGGATATGGGTATGCATAATATATAATTCATTAAATCGAATATAAGGACGGGGATAGATATATACATATCCATCTCGTAATTGTACTTGCTTTAAATTTATAAATATTTAGTTAATTTTTTTTAGAATTTTCTTAAAATTTATGTAATTTCTTACTCTATTTTTAATTTATGTCAAATAAAGTTTAATTAATGTAATTTTGTAATTACTATTTTGTATTAAAATTCTTTTTCTTTTTTTTTGCAAAAAAAAGAATATTTATTTAATTTTTAGACGGGTATGGAACGGGTACAAGTATACTCAATATCTGACGACTAAGTGATGATGACACAAATTTCATACAGCCGAATATGGAGACATGAATAGATATAGGATACGAGAACTAGTATAAAGAAATCCATACCCACATCCTCCCATTGTCATCCCTACTTAAGAGAGTATATAATTTAATAAATCTTTACATATAAAAATTAATTACTCATCGATTTGTCTATATATATATATATATTATTAAAGATAGAATAATTTTCTTGAAAAATTTTTACTCAAAACTACACTGCACCATACCCAATTATTTTCTAAAATTTATTTGCCTTTTAGAATTCAAACATTTCATATTAGTTATAAGACTAAATTATTAGTCTTTAATAAATTTAATGACGTCGATTAATGACATCATTACTAATAGTTTTTAATGTTAACTATATGTTTTTTATTATTTTTATTTGATTTGTTATGAATTTTATAATCAATGATACTAAAAGAATTGATTGCAATTAATTATTATCATACTAATTATAATTAATTAGTAGCACCATTAATTGCAACCAACATTTTTAGTATTGTTAAAATAAGTATTCAATGACTAATAAATTGGTAACCAATCCATAAACTCTTCAAACAATGTTTTTTTTCTTAAATGATGACAATTAAGTGCATAATTTTTTCATATATTCTCCATGCAACAATTCTCCATTAAAATGATTAATAAATTGCAAGCATGTAATTAAAACAATGTTACTATTTTTTTTATTTATATATCATCTAATAATTAATTAATGTTTCATTTGATTAATATTGCATTAATTTATATTTAAATTTATATCTTTTAATTAAAAATATGAAAAATTAATTTTCACACACAATTAATTTATATTTAATTAATTTTTCTCCAACATTAATGTTATTATTTGTTGTTTTTTCACATGGTTGACTCAACATATTTTTAGGCCTAAAATAAATATTAAAATGCGGTCTTTTAAAAATTAATAATAATATATTTTGATAATAAAAAATAAAAAATATTCTAATAAAAATATTTTTTACTTAAAGTTTATCTTTCAATCTTTTAGAGATGTAAAATTGTTTATTAAATTATTATAATCAAATTTTTTTATCATTTATTTTTCGATAGATATTCAACTAATCCATTTAATTTTTGTTGAGACATTATTGATCTTAAACAATATTTAATTAATTTTAGTTTTAAAAAATTATTTTAGTCGATGCAATACTTACAGAAAATATTAACATTATTCTATTGTAACGACTTGTCGTGGTCCCTGTACTTAGTAGAATCACACTAATAAACTAGTCAACTAAGAAAAGATATTCAAATTGAATAACTTATACATACATGTATATATATAAATAATAATAACTAAGTTTCTATGAGCAAAACATAACCCCATATATGTACAGTCATCCCAAAAATAATATCACCCTAGTGTCGATCAAGCACAGACAAAATAGTTACCCAAAATGGTAACTCTAATACGAGGATAAAACTCCACGTCCCGCAGCGGTCACCTCAATTCCAAGCTAGCCCTGATTTGCTCCCATACAATATATGATCATCGCAGTTTATCCACATGGAAACAAAAGGTTAAGCTAGAGTTTAATAAACAACCATACAAGTATAGAACAATAATATATACTACTCAATCATCCAACTATCAATCCTGAAGTCAAACACTATACACTTCATCATAATAGTAATCATGCAATAAAATGCAACTCATGACAGATATCAATGAATATCAATTATCTAATGTGTCGTCACGCATTCACCTAGGAGATCTCCCTAACAGCAGAGTAGTATAAGTGACATCCCAATCCTACCGAAATCACCCCAATCGCGCCTGCTCGGTCATAGCTAAATAGGATATAAATCCTCACTCGGGTTTTCTCGGATGATGTCACTTACACACTTGGAAGTCTAGTTCCACCGTCAGGTATAGCACAGCTGGATACAGGCTTACCACGATCTTGACATGCATTACGAAGTCACTTGTGGAGTTCGCCCACCGACTATCTACAAGAAACCACGCACCTTCCCCAATACTTGGTTAAGGGAATAGCCCTCGACCTCATACCCCGCTCCAACACTAGCTAAAGACTTGGAGGAGACTCACCCAAACTAGTGGCCTATCTAAGCACCACTCTCACCCAAAACCAATGGCCTATCTAAGCATCTCTCTCAAGAAACTCTATGTGAGCTCTTCCAATTCAAAAATATTTCCCTCTCCTCAAGTCCTAGGCTAGACACATGCTATAAGGCATCAAATACAATAATGCATCCTACATCATACATGACCAATCCACCATCATGATCAATATCATCCTCATATGAACATACACACATGTCATATCATATTTAAACATTCATATATATCATTAACAAGCATACATATGAATCATACACCACCATGCATTATATATCATACATACATGATCAAATCTTCAACTTTAAACATGCATAAGCATCATTTTCACTAAATACTTCTAAACATACTCACGCCTGGCGTAGCTAGCTCGTGCTCGACCTAACATCAAACCCAAGAGCTCTAAGGGTCATTCACGCGCGATTCAATCAACTTGTGCCCGACGTCATTCAAACAGAGACTCACAGGAGTCTCCACGCCTGGTGCGCCTACCCTGCGCCCGACGCCAAATCAAACAAACACCTCCAAGGGTCTCCACGCCCGACGCGCTCACTTTGCGCACGACGTTGTATCAAAAAAATACCATTCAAGCTACTGTATGATATCGCGCCCAGCTGAACTCATCCAGAGACTCCCATTTGCAATCGCACCCGGCGTGATCAAGAAATGGTTACTCTGATGAATGCACGCTCGGCGCCAAGAACATGCGCCTGCGCAAATTCATACAACAACCTCCCAAAACTAAAAAAATTCCTTCAAAACCTGAAAATCAGAAGATTTCCACCACATGCAATATAATACTTAGACTCCATACAACTAGGAAACATTCTCATATTCAACATGCACCCATCTGATGCAACAAAATCACCAAAACTCCCCATTTTTCCCAAAACCCCGAAAAATGATCAATTTCTCCAATCCAACCATGGATTCTCAAAATTCATGCATCAATTGAGTTCCTAAACTCACATGCAACTAAACAACATACATTCTAGCTTCCTTCACCTGAAAAATTGGCTCAAAATAGCCAAGAGTTGAGAAGAAGAAGAATCTCCTTCAAAGCTTGTCCCGCCAACTTTAATCTACCAAAAGTAAGCTTCCTAGCCTAAATTCCAATAAAAGTCAAAAGGGATTAGTGATCTAGAGAAGAAGAAGAATCAAACAGAGAAATTTAGGAGAGAAAGGAGCTCACGGACCTAGAGTCCTTCTCTCTAGGTTTATTTGAGAATGAGCTTATGAGCCTCTATTCTCAGAGAAAGCCTTATATACTCTTCTCTCTAGCCTCAACTAAACCTCTGAATCAACTTACTACATTATACTCTATAAACAATATATGCATTAACTAATACTTCTCTATTTTCACTTTCATTTTCATTGGCATCTATATTATTAACTTGTTCATTCAATGAATAATCACTTGTATTTTCAACTTCACTTTTCTTATTTGTTTTGATAAATCTATTTAGGGTCCCCTTTGTGACTCAATTAAAGCATCATTTTTTTTAGTTTTTAATAACTAGATTCAGATTTTCTAGTTGACATTTTAAAATAAAATAATTAATATTTGACATTGTATTAAAATATATATAAAAAATAAATAATTATAAATCAAGAATACAAAGAAAATGTTAGAATAATAAAGCTTGATTGTCAAATGACTATTTCATACAAAAATTTCTTAAAAGTGTTTTGACAGATGACTCTTTCTACCAATAAGAAATCGTTGATCAACTTTAAATTTAGTAATTTTGAAACATAAATATGCCATGTACATAACATAAATTCAAATGGTTAAAATGAATATATATCAAAACATAACCCCAT